ACATTGTTACATTAATATAATATGTTATATATATAATACATAACAATATTCAGTGGCGGAACAAGAATGTTTCAAGCCGTATTGCAAAGATTATCCCTAGGATTTCATAAAATGTTTATTTTTTTTAAGAATTAGGCCTATATATATAACTTACATATTTAAATACTACGTATTTATTTATGGAATATTTTAAAATTAATTTTTCTTGCCAAAATATTAATATGACCAACCGCACTCCCAAAAGCCTGGGCCTCGGCTGCATAGCCTGCACATAGCTAAATCTACCATTTACAATATTATCAATATATCTACTTCAAACCGTTTACAGTACTTACTTTAGGCTTTTTTAATGTTAATTAATATCTATCAGTTAAACATTATATAATTTATAACATTATGAAAATAACTACTGTATTAAATTGATAAAATAGATAGTTAAGACGAATAAATTATCTATGATATATTAGAATCTATTTAATATTTAATAATCTTAAAAATATTGCTTAATTTTTACCAGTTAAAAAAATTATTAGGCCTATATAGGTATATTGCCTTTATTTATTATATTGCAAAGATCTACATGTGCATAAGATCAAATTCTAACTTTTCTAATCTCCCGATATTTTATATCAATCGGGAATTGAACGGACTAACAATACTTATATTTGATAAATAGGAGTATATAAAAACTTTTCTGATATTACATGGCAAATCGTTATCAATAAGGATGATTTATTCCATGTACTTATAGCCCATAAACAGTTCAAAACTAAGCTATTTGAAAAACAAAACTTAGCTTTCTTAGAAAACAATTGCAAGCTTTGATTGCATTATTTTGCGAACTCATCCGTTCATATCTACAATTTTCATACAACAATTTCATATTAAATTGTTAAATTTATTAAATATATTATTATTGTTAATTTATGTTTAAAATTTAGAAATTTGAANTTTTGATGATTTCATTATCATTACATGCTTGATGATTAATTTATAACATTTAATTAATGGGAAAATATAGATAATAGCTATTTTACTCCAGGCAAGCTTTAACCATTGTATCGAAAGATAAGAAATAAAAGTAAAGCAAAACTTGTTTAATAATAACCTAAGGTGCGTCATTTTGTTGTATATAAATCATTCTAGCGAGATCCCATTTTAGTTAAGTGCCTTCATTTCCTGGAAAATCATACTGAATTTATGACAACAGATAATGCTAGAAACAGAATCTGTTATCCTGTAACATTTTTGATAGTCATGTTTATGTTCAGTTTGGAAGATACAAAATACAAATTTTTAAAATGATACAAGCTATCGATGAAAAATTTCGATAAGATAAAAAAAAAAGTTAATAATAATAAAGGGAAACAATATTCAGTAAAATATTTAAACCTATTAGAATTAATATCAAATTAAAATTATGGTTTTTTAATCGAAGCAACGATGATAAATATAATTTATTGTCAATGTCTTTCGCATTTCTACATTAATAATGAAATTGTTAATGTTATCAAATATTTCAATTTCTTGTACTTTTATAATTAGTTAAATTTAATTAAATATTTTTCACATTAAATTAATTATAGAATAAATTCATATAATGCAAACGCATTAAATGAACTTATTAGTACAATTTTATCCAAATAAAAAACAAAAAGTTTATTTAAACGCAGTTCAGTTTGCATAAATATGCGAAGAATATCTGAAAAATTCCTCTGAATGGAGAAAAATTTTGACTTTTATCTTATTCTAGAACTAATGTAGATCATTTTTAGCTTAGAAAAACAGATTATTATAAATTAAGTAAATTTTTAAGTAAAAAGTAAGTTTCAATATTGATGGTTGTGGTTAACTAATATTTTGATTTAAATTCTTTTTGTTTTTTAAATATAAGAATACGTCTAGGCAATTTATATGCATTGATTTGTTTCAAAATTATTGTTATTATCATTATTTAAAAAGTTATATAAAAATGTCCTTCATTTACCATTAACAAACCATAAGCAACTTTAAAAGAGAAATTTAGCTTGAGAAAAAAAATGATTGTAAGATGCGGTTTTAACCACTAAATCACTTAGCAAATTATAAATATTTATTAGTGGAGAAATTATAATTGGAATCCCATTTGCAAATATTTTGTTTCTATAGGGATAGTTCCATGTTAATGATATGTTTCGTAAACGAATTGCTTTTTCGAATTAGTTATTTTCGACTAACTCTAAAATGATTTATTTCTTAAATATAGCAACTTGTTCTCTTTAATTTAACTTTCTCTTTTGAGATTCATTAAAATATTTCAAAAGTTTGTCTAATCAATCGGGCAAAATAAATAAGAAACTTTAACCAATTTAAATTTTATTAGACGATCAAAATAATTTTCCATTTTAATATTAAAATTAATCATTTTAATTAATTTTTATAATGTGTCTGCCATTTTGCTTTTGTTATAATATAGTAGACTATATATTTTAATTGTGAATTTCTATATTTTTTTTCCTCGATGAACTCCAAATAATAAAACAGTTCTAATGAACTAAAATCCTTATCAATAAATTTATTTATATTATTCACATTTATTTTGTTTATTTATTTTAACTAACATTAGAAATAAAATAACAGTGCAATATAATATTAATTACTTGTTTACAAATAATCTACAACTTTCTATTTAATTTAAATATATAAAATATTCTTTATATATAAATCATAATAATAAAAATAAACATAAATATAGATAATTTTCGAATAGAGTACTGTACATAACATACAGCTATAGTTTGTGTATATTTTGTGTATTGTTTGTAATCCTCAAATACTCTATTTTTTAGATAGAGTATTTGAGAATTTTCTGACTTAGACGTGGAACAGAACAGGGATAAGGATACTCGAATTAAATCTGTTGATCTTCGGTATTCCAATAGAAACATCCGAGCGTGTAATTTTTTTTGTTTAATAAGATCGCACAAAAAAGCATCATATACCATATATATTAAATTTTATGAATTAATCTTTGGCTATGTCTTGGGCTACTCAAATATTTCACGTTTTTGATACTAAATTATCATCTGAAGTATAATTTCTTATAATTTTTATATTTTTCAATATATTTATTTTATTTGTACAAAATAAAAAAATAATTTTTAACGATACAATAGTCTTTGTTAGGCTTAACATCGACGAAAATTGAAGGCGAAGCGACACGCAACGGAGAAAAATTTCGACATCGGATACGTTAAACTATTTTTTCGTACGTAAATCAGTTATCCGAAATATCAGTTATCCGGACAACCCCAGTCCCCAATTGATTCGGAAAATCGACGCTCTACTGTATTGATAATTGTCAATAGCTAAAGTTTCTTATATATAGTATATATATATATATTTATTTAATTTATTTATTAGCTAATAGTAAATGATTTAAGCCAATATATTTAAATATATAGGCTTAGATCCTCTACTATTGGCTTGACTTTTTTCGAGGAGATTAAAAACTATCGCTATGAGGTCCGGTTCGAATCCGGGCGAGCAACCTCAGGAATTCTTTGGGTTAATGGACAGTCTCTGATATGTCGGGTCCCGTCTCTCATTACTTGGCTGCCCCATTGTGGGCCTAACCGAACCCACAATTTGCTTGAAGATAAGGCGCTCTTAATGCTCACAGGACAGGAGTTAAAAGAGATCTTCATTATTTTTTTCTTTTATTTTATAATAAACAAAGTAATGCTAGATAAATTAACAGAAAATAACTGACTCTTTATATATAAATACAAGGCATGTTCAATAAAAAATGAAAAAAGTGTCATTAAAATTCGGGAGGATGAGCAATAGTGTAGTAATTTTGACACACGAAAGTTCCAACAGAGAGGAACAGACTGCTTGATGGCCGAACGGTCAAGGTGGCAGCTTAACGCTCTGGGGACCCGTGATAGAATCCGAACGGGTCGAAATATCCCCAAAAATTTTTCGGGGGTGGCCAAACCCACAATGGGCTTTCTTAAAAAGGTCCTTTTAGTGCCCACAGGGAGAAAATAGTTTTAAAAAAAGTCAAAGGCAAAAGTAACTGCGAATGGCAACACTGTTGATGAGCGAAAATAGAAGACAACGGAGCGATAAAATGGCGACGGCTCTCCCGCAGTGTCATGATTCTCTAGTTTTTAGATACATTTGAAATAACAGATAGTAATATAAAATTAATATACACATTATTATTGACAAATATTACATTTATTTAAATATGACTAACATCAAGATTCTCTACGGCTGAGACCACAGTGAGTGCCATGGAGAATCTTCTACAGAAATGTGACTATATTTTGGAACCTTAGAACTCTGCTCGTAGCATGTGTGCAATTCACCTAGTCGTCTCCTTACTGTATCAGCAGCTGCATGTGCCAGTGGATATCGATTGGTTTTTGTCAAAAATCGGACAACACTACACCATTCTTCCTTCATGCACTGCTGGAGAGGCGTCGCCAATTTATCGGTCCGTTGTCTTCTATTCTCGCACATCACCAAGTTGCCATTCATAGTTACTGTAGCCTCTGACTTGAATTTTCGTGTGTCAAAATTACTACGTTAATGCTCATCCTTCTGGGTTATAATGACACTATTCCGTTTTTCTATTTAACGAGCCTTGTATAATTTTTCTCTCCTAATATACAATAAAGTATTTTGCGTATACAGTAAAACGTCAATTATCAAATAATGAGGGAGGGACACTTTAAGCTAACCAATCACAATTGATAGAGAAAAAATAAGAATATAAAAATATTAATTTTAATTATACTAAAATAGTAAAAAAAAAAGATTAGAGCATAGATATTTAATACATACAAATGATTAGAAAGAACGAAAACGTTGTCTAATTTATTAAAAAAGTAGTAGTCTTTTTTGCAATCTCTTATCATATATAGTATACTTTTTTAATAAAATATTTGCAATTTTCCGCTTAGATTACCATTTTTCTCCACTAGAGGGCAAATTGTAATTAGCAGACGCGACTGTTGCAGAATTGTTTATATACTTGGATCTGTACTAAATATCCGGTAAGTTATGAAATCAAAAAAAAAAAAAATTTAACGGAAAAAGATTTAAATGTAGTTTAACATTTATTATTATTAATTTTAAAATGCAAAGTTAATGTAGTTTCATCTTAATTTATTTATTTTACCGTATTAACAACTAAATATCTTGTTAAATAATTAAATAGTGATATTACAGCAGTTATATCAGTTTATCAGATTCTAACTATTTATTTTTCTATTTAGATTGCATTTAATTGTCTGCAGAATGGAATTTTATTTATAAAATTATTTATGAATATAGTAAATTTTTTCTTTGTCAGAGTTGTAATTGTAAACAAAGTTGATTTATAAAAAATATGTACAGTAATTCATTTATCTTCAGGTTTGTATTCTATAAAAACAAAATACATGAAGTACAGGTAATTTGAATTACAGAATTACTTTTTTAAATAATTCAATATGCTCTATTGTTAGTCATCATAATCCAGTCAAGGATTAAACAAATCATCTGTTCCAGCTTTTAATTGATCTTATGTAAAGTGACCAAATGTTCTGAATTAGATGGGGGCAGTCCTAATTTAAAACTCTTCTAAAAATAGCCTAATTTTTAAACTATTGAAAAAGTCCTGCTTTTAGACTGTTTCATAATTATATTCAAAAATTGTAAATCACTCACAAGTTAGTGTAAAAATTTTAATATCCAATTTTAATATCCAAAATTTAATATCCAATTATCTGAATTTACATTATTTTTTAGATACTTATCCACTTGTTCTAATCAACAAGTGGATAAGTATCAAATGGACTTTCTCAGCCTTTCCCTACCATGCTTCTCAACTATCTTTCCCATGCATGCTCTCTTCTACAGTTCTTTCCTTCTCTCAATGTGGCCAAACCATCATAGAGCAAATTTTCCTATCTTTTCAACCACATTTTTTTTCATCCCACATTTCTCTAGTACTTGTTTATTTATTTCAGGATTTTGTCAGTTTAATTTTACTATTGACTTTTCTTCATCTATGAAATACTTAAATAATATTATTTTTGCATAAACACTTCTTGATTGATAATATGGGATAAAACTGTTACAAGTATTAAACATTTTCTAATACAGTATAATCAGAAAAATTTTGCCAAAGCCTGAGAAGTTTGTTTTACATTATCAAAATATTAATGGATTTAACCATAATTGTTTTTATTTGTTTACTTTGAAAAATTACTTAAAACAATTATATTATCCATTTAGAGATAGAGAGGGATGTCATTACTGCATCCACTAGTATAATTAACAAAATAGTTTTTAGATACATTTGAAGGTTAAAGTCCAGATGCGTGTACCGTCATGACGGCTCATCTCTGATTCCAGCAAACAAAAGAAAGGAAACAGTGGGGATGCACGTTCTAACCTAACCTAACCTATTCTAATAAATTACCACAATTATTACCAACCAAATTATTAGAATAGGTTAGGTTAGAATGTGCGTCCCCACTGTTTGCTGGAATCAGAGATGAGCCGCCATGATGGTATACGTATCTAGACTTTAACCCATTTGAAATAACAGGTAGTAATATAAAATTAATATACACATTATTATTGACAAATATTACATTTATTTAAATATGACTAACATCAAGATTCTCTACGGCTGAGACCACAGTGAGTGCCATGGAGAATCTTCTACAGAAATGTGACTATATTTTGGAACCTTAGAACTCTGCTCGTAGCATGTGTGCAATTCACCTAGTCGTCTCCTTACTGTATCAGCAGCTGCATGTGCCAGTGGATATCGATTGGTTTTTGTCAAAAATCGGACAACACTACACCATTCTTCCTTCATGCACTGCTGGAGAGGCGTCGCCAATTTATCGGTCCGTTGTCTTCTATTCTCGCACATCACCAAGTTGCCATTCATAGTTACTGTAGCCTCTGACTTGAATTTTCGTGTGTCAAAATTACTACGTTAATGCTCATCCTTCTGGGTTATAATGACACTATTCCGTTTTTCTATTTAACGAGCCTTGTATAATTTTTCTCTCCTAATATACAATAAAGTATTTTGCGTATACAGTAAAACGTCAATTATCAAATAATGAGGGAGGGACACTTTAAGCTAACCAATCACAATTGATAGAGAAAAAATAAGAATATAAAAATATTAATTTTAATTATACTAAAATAGTAAAAAAAAAAGATTAGAGCATAGATATTTAATACATACAAATGATTAGAAAGAACGAAAACGTTGTCTAATTTATTAAAAAAGTAGTAGTCTTTTTTGCAATCTCTTATCATATATAGTATACTTTTTTAATAAAATATTTGCAATTTTCCGCTTAGATTACCATTTTTCTCCACTAGAGGGCAAATTGTAATTAGCAGACGCGACTGTTGCAGAATTGTTTATATACTTGGATCTGTACTAAATATCCGGTAAGTTATGAAATCAAAAAAAAAAAAAAATTTAACGGAAAAAGATTTAAATGTAGTTTAACATTTATTATTATTAATTTTAAAATGCAAAGTTAATGTAGTTTCATCTTAATTTATTTATTTTACCGTATTAACAACTAAATATCTTGTTAAATAATTAAATAGTGATATTACAGCAGTTATATCAGTTTATCAGATTCTAACTATTTATTTTTCTATTTAGATTGCATTTAATTGTCTGCAGAATGGAATTTTATTTATAAAATTATTTATGAATATAGTAAATTTTTTCTTTGTCAGAGTTGTAATTGTAAACAAAGTTGATNTAATTTCTAGCTTAGTGTTTGTTTTTTCATTTATATGTTTAAATACACTTTATAATTTTTATCATGCTCCACTATGGTTGTAAAGTGCTTATGTTAGGACTTTGTACATTGGGTGACATTGTCCATCTGTCAGATTTTCACACGCATGCGCAAAGACTTCACCTTTGTTACCTAAGTGTTATGCTTTGTTCAATCCATTTATTGTGCATGTACAAGGACATGTGCAATGACTTCAACTGTAAAAACTCTTATCAGACTTATATTTCTTCTTAGAATTGAAATAAGTCAATTGAAGTCCTTGTATAAATAATAATATTTATTCACATTCAATTCTTTTATTTCATATATTGAGCTTTAACTGGATTATTGTAAATTAAACACAAAAAACCTATTCCAGCAACTATTTTTTATTTTATCTTATGCTTTTGACTATCTGTGTAGCCATCATCAGGATCAAACACTTTGAATAGATTTCTTTAATGTTTAAATATTATGTTCTCAACCACTAGTTTAGAACATAATATTTAAACGTTTATGTCTATACACATTTCTCTAACTGCATTTACTAATAAATAAATAAATCTTAAAAACCTTTAAAATGCAGTCTTTTTATTACAGCATCTAACATTTCAGTCAGTTAATTGACCTTCTTCAGGAAAGAATCAAAAAAATTCTGATTTCTACTGATTCCAGAATTTATGAATTCTGGATTCTACTTGATTCCAAGAATTTATGAAATTTATTTTAAAAAAAATTAACGTTTGATTTGCTTTTGTGGAGCATGTTTTCAGATCAGCTTGACCAATTTTGTTTCTTTTTACAGTGTCTACTAACCTGACCTGATATTTCAACATTTATGTTTTGTTTATCCACTATCTGAAAGTAGAGCTTGCTATGAAACTTTTGAATGATATCAGCAGGGATTCTTAACCTTTTTCATGTATTGATCCCTTTTAAGAAAATAAATTTTTTCATAGACCCCCTTGTATATATTATTTTTTAGTACATTTTTTCATATTGAAAATGATAGTGAAAATATTTTCAAGAAGCTTTAAATGATTGTATTTACTAAATAATTAAACATTAAAATATTATACTGTACATGCATGTTCAATATGTATGCAATTTGCTCATCAACCCTGTTGGGAAACCTTGGTATAAAGCAAAGAAGCAATTCTCAATAATCTAAACCATGCTATTGCTGTAATTAATTGGACTATTTTTTGCTACTATTAATAGTTGATATTAAGTAATTTGGTATTAGAGGTAGACATTAGGTGCAATCTCTTATCAAAAGTAATAATTATAATAATTTAATATTTATTAAATCATTTTTAAAATAGTCTGGAAGAAAAGAATTGGACTGGAGTGCGATTCAAACCTGCAACCCCCACTTACAGTGAGATGTGCTGCCAGTTATACAGTACCACTCTGACCTTCAAGCAATTCTTACTTTCTTCCAGACTGTTCTAAAAATTATTTAATAAATATTAAATTATTATAATTATTAATTTCAATAAGAGATGGCATCTAATGCCTATGTCTATTACCAAATTACTGAATATCTAATTATTAATAGTAGCAAAAAATAACCTGATTAATTATGGCAATAGTTCGGTTTAGTATTAATACTTCAGGCTTTGGGATGTTTATATATATCAATGATCTATATGAGAAAAATATACAGCATTTCCAGACTCAAAATTAACTTACTAAATCATATCAAATAACACATAAAATCTAAAATAATACAAATATATAGTAAAAGCAGGAATGATATGATAAATACATAGCCTATATAAAGTAGAAATGTAAGTATGGGACAGTTAGTGAAACTACATTCAAAGTTGCTCTCCAGTAAGTAATTTTTAAGCTATGAAACTAGTTTCATCTCAAAAACCAGTCAAATCATCCATGATTATTGAAAAGAATGTTATATTTCTTTTTCTTAGGTAAAGATAACTTAATGGAACATCATGATTTCTACACCTATCAATCCATTCAAGCAATAGACTTTCATAATTAATGAAATCTATTACATTTGGATCATCGTAAAACGTTTGCTAAGCACTTGAAATTTTCCCTTCTTTCTTAAAATTAATGCATACCCCTCTCCTTGTTGCTTTGTAAATTTCTAGAGCTTTCTGTGTTTTAGCCTATTCCATTTGGATAGTATGTCCAACCATTGATGTTTCCATTTATGCCTCCAAAACAGGAGTGAAACCTAACTTTGAAGAAACTAGCCTTATTGGAAACATTATCCAAATGGAGCAGGCTAAAACAGAAAGAGCTCTAGAAATTTACAAAGAAAAATGGAGAGGGATATGCATTAATTTTAAGGAAGAAGGAAAAATTTCAAGCACTTGACAGACATTTATGATGATTCAAATGAAAACCAAAATAACTAATCTCATTAATTATGAAAGGGACATACATTAATTTATCAAACAATAGACTTTCCATTTTATCTATTATTAAATGCCAATTAAAGAGATTGGTTTGTTAATAGCATAACTAATAGAAACTCGCCAAATAAACCATTACCAGTTCACAACCAAACAGAAAAATTCTTTCTATGAATGTTTTCATCTATATGTAATAGACATCCTCAGGTATTGATGATATCGAACTAACGGCTAACAAAGCTGTTAGTTTGATATCGTCAATACCTGAGGATGTCTATTACATATAGATGAAAACATTCGTAGAAAGAATTTTTCTGTTTGGTTGTGAACTAGTAATGGTTTATTTGGCGAGTGTTATATAATTAAGTATCCAGTTTTTTGAAATACAGTACTAATAGAAACTTTAGCAGTTTTTGAGATTCTTTCTTTCTGTGTATAAATAGTCTGAATGGTTGACACAAGCAGACACAAGCAAACACAATGCCTTTATTTTATTTACTATGATTGAAACACTTAATTATGTCCAATTTTACACTAAGTAAATCACTTTTAAGAATTCTCTTAATTTTTTTACATGTTAAGATACATCTTGCTAATGGATGCACAAAATAAATTGACATAAAGCATAGATGCTCACACAGTTCAAAGCCACGATGGCTTGATGCTGAATGAAATTCCCGAGAAGTAGTTTGGAGACACTTATCGCTGATTGCTGTTCGAGGTACACAATGCCTCTAAAATAGTTTGCCACAAAACAAATGCTTAATGCTAATTTTTTCTTTTTACATTTTTATTGTAAAAACAAAATTTTTCTTTGATTTCTTTTGGTTAGAAAAAACATACTAATATAGGTCTTTCATAAAAGTGATGTGATGTATAACAATCTTTTGTAAAATGGGTAATATCTGTTTAGTCTACTTGATGTTTTCTTTTGAATGCACTATTTCATGTTCTGTAGGAGGTTTGCTTCTACTCAAACATTTCATATGACTGAGGTCAACATAGTTTTATATAGAATCATAATTACAAAGATATAAAAATTTATTTTATTAACTGAATGTTCAGTATTAATATAAAATTCACTCTCAATCTGAATTAATTAATGTTTGTATTTGTAAAAATTTCAAATTAACAGGGTTATATCTAAGAAATGGAAGAAAAAGAACTACATATAAAAGCACATAATTAATCTTCAACTTACAAACTCCTAATTTATGAACATCCATTTAATAGTCAAAGCTAGTGAGTGTATTAAAAAAGTTATTTTTGAGTCCAGAAAACAATCAGTTGCAATTCCTAAAGGTTTGGTACAATAATTAAATGTTAAATATATACTGTAATGGGCAATACACACACACACACTATATAACACTAACTGGTAATTTCATCCATGTTTAATAATAATTCATATAATTTTATGTTGTTAGCAACCCAAAGACAAAATTGAAACTAACATTCTGCAGAGATGCTTGATTCAGAAAGTTATTCATTACCTGCATATGTTCATGAATGTGTATTAATAAGTAAATAAGTAATTAAAGTATGAAATGTTAGTTTGAAATGTAATGCACATGAAAAGTGTAACTGTATTGTATTACAATATATAAGCACAATAATTTATTTTAATAAACTGAGTGATTATAATTAAAGTAATCCTATTCACTGCAGTCTAGAGAGCTATTTAGCAGTCAAATGTAACCAGATTTGATATGGTGATATTTCAGGACATACTGAAGACATTTTCATAAAAAAAGTTAGTGCCAAAATTCACCACTGTGGAATTTTTGAAACTTTGGATTCTAATTTATTTGATTTTTTGTTATGAGAACACTTAAAAGTGTGGTCTATTGAGGACATGTTTCAATTTGGCAGCAATAAGCCAAAAACATTGTTCATTGCCTTCATGTTTTAAATTTTCAGAATGGAGAACACTCCATTCTGAAAGTGCCACACTGGCACATTTTGCTGCTAATTTTTTCTATCGAATGTCTTTAGCATACCATATCAAATTTGTTTGCCTTTGGACTGCTAAATATCTATCTATACAGTGTTGAATATGGATATTTTAATTATGATCATTTAGTACATACATATTGCAATATTATATTGGCTAATGTGCAGTCTTGAGAATAGCTATTATTACTATAATTTATTATGTCTGACTTAAGATTGGCATCCTGGAATGGAATTCTGTAATAAGTCAAGAACTATGTGTATTTTAAAAAATTCTTTTATACAGAAATACCTCGACTTACGTTACCCCGACTTACGCGAACCAGGAGTTACGCGATTTTCAAATCTCGTCGATTCGTCTTTTGTTTGAGCGCTACGCAATTCTTGATTACTCACTCTCCCCACACTATTGTTCAGCTTACATGTTCGGACGTGTCGCGCGGAATCGACGCATAGCTACAATTTATTTTGTGTTATTTATTTCTGTGTTTGTTATATCTATGGAGACTCGAGAGACTCTATGTGGTGATTTCTTGTAACCGTAAACGAATCAAAGACCAGATAAGATTAACGAAAACATTTATTAGCTTACATACATCCGACTTGGATTTTACACAAATTGCGAAATTATACCCTGACTTACGCGAATTCGACTTACGCGGTTATCGCTCGGTTCCATCTATCGCGTAAGTACGGGGTATTACTGTACTATATTTGGTGTAGGCTATATATTTATATTAAAATATGTAAATGCATATTAATTTTACAAATATGTTGTTTTTAAAAAATATTTTGTGATTTCTGTTTTTGACTGAAACATTTAGCAAATAATGAACAAAATTGGTTTGGATTTTATTGTAAACAGAGTTCTATGATTGATTTTGGTATCTGGCCTGAGAATGACATCTATGAATTTATAGTATTTTCTATAAAATATTGTAATTAATATTGTATAATTGAATTACGGTAGAGCATCGATTATCCGACTCAATTGGGGACTGGGGTTGGTTGGATAATTGAAAAGTCGGATAACCGAAAAGTATGAAAAAATCCATTATTAGTGTAGTATATTATTATATCCCATGTAATTAGTATATTAGTATATCGGTATTAACCTACTTCGTGTTGAATTTTCATCAATGTTAAGCCTAACAAAAATTTTTTTAAAATAATAATCGTCACTATTATATCGTTAAAAATTAGAAAATTAAGCCTCGTTTAAATACTGGCTCCCTTTCATGGTCGAGCCAGTGTTGCCAGCTAAAACATTTAAAAATAATATTAAAGTAGCCAAGACATAGCCAAATATTGTAGCGCCACATCACTAGCGGATATCTGAATTTGCCGACTAGAACGCGGTCGGTTAACTGAGGTGATGGTTAATCGGGGGTCAGATAATCGATGCTCTACTGTATTTCTAAAAGAAATAATAAACACCATTAATTTTCCAGCAGTCATTTATGTTACTAGTTACTAATAATTGAAGAAATATCTTCAGATTCAAAGCATGCAATGCAATTTACTTATATAAATTGTATTGTAAGATTTGAATCTGAAGATGGATTTTCAATATTATAACTGTTATAAAAATAGCCTAAAATTTAACTGAATAGAATTAAAGTGTCAAAATGATAGCTATCAGAAATTTCTAATAGAATATTTTCAGACATTCATGTTTAATATCAATGCTTTTAACTGCAAAGTAATTTATTATAACTGTTTATGTAATTAAAAGTAACTGACATTGGATTAGGATGTTTGTATGCATTTCTTGTAAAATTTATATTCTACATTTGCATATATTTTGTTTTTATTTTACATGATTGCTATTTCCCTTATTTAACTAATTTACTCTTTCTTTAACATTTCCAAATAGAATTTATTTTTGTTTTCAGAATTCTTTCTTCATTTAGACAAGCAATAAATTTTATAATTCAAAATTAGAAGATATCAACTATAATCATATAATTTAAACAAAAATTAATCTTTAATATAATTGTTAATTTTAAATATAACATGGTTATAATATTAAATCCTAACAAATAAAAATAATGAAAGTTTTATTAATAAATATTAGTATTTACATTAGCCTTTTAATAATTATAGAATAAAATGTGGAATAAATGGAAATCAATCTTGAATACTGCCAAACCACTGTTTTTTATTGGGTTACAAACAAACAGATATAAGACAAAGTTACTTAGGTAAGATTCATTATGTTTTTAATACTAATTATGTTAAGTAAATTATATTAAGAATTTTTTTTGTAAGTTATAAATTTAATACAAAATTCTAAAAAATGTTTTATACTTTTTTTAGTTAGTTATTTAGATACTGTGCTTATTTTTAATATAAAAATAAATTAAATCATTTAAGTAAATAAAGTACGTAATTAACTATGTTTAATTAATCTAACTTTAAATTTGCTATTGTTATTAAATTTTTCCTTTTTATTCTGTTATGTTTTTATTTGGTTTAATACTCTTGTAAGAAAGATACCTTTGTAATTTCTATACTGTACATATATTTTTGTTTATAAATAAACAAATGAACTTGAAACATTATTTACCTGATCATCAATAATACATAATGCTCATTATTTTTAAGGAGTTAATTTACTATTTGAAAATTTAATGATAAGATGTTTTTGACACTGGATCTGTCAATGAAAACATTTCATCATCAAGTATTCAAATAATAAATTAATTCCTTGAAAATTACTATCATTGTATATTATTGATCATATAAAATAGAAATGCTCATCAACAAAGAATTCACTGTACAGTCAACTTGCTTTAAACACAATTAAAGTGAATTTTGTTGTTGCCTTGGCAAAACGCCTTGTCACAGAATTAATTTTCACACAATAAAATAAACAAAAATTTTGCCAGAATTTATTAAACTGATGAATCTGAGCCCTAACTTTTTGGCTCTATGGAGGACTTATCACACACTATTGATGTCAGAGAAATCACACAGAAGTGGGTAGATACAGGTTTATTATGACAATGGTATGCATTTCAGACAGGCTATCTGTTCTTTTTCAGCTATATTTGTTATAAGTTGGTGGGCTTACAGGTGTCTACAAAAATACAAGTGGTTTTTATTAAAAACATTTGGGTTTATGATTAAAATAGTTCAAAATTATGTCTTTTTTATACATAAAAGATTCATTCTATTTACATTCCATTACACACATTAGCAACAAAATAGAATATGTATACCATGTATTTTGTTGCTAATATGTGTAATAGAATGTAAATAAAATGAACCTTTTAAATATGTATAAAAAACATAATTTACAAAACTGCAAAACTACAAAAAAAAAAACAAAAAACTGCTTGTATTTTTGTAGATGCCTGTATACCCACCAAACTGTAACAAATACGACTAAAGAGGGACAAACAGCCTGTCCAAAATACATACCATCATTATAATAAACTTGTGTCTACCCACTTTGTGATTACTTCGACAATGTCAAAAGTCTTTGATAAGTCCTCCATAGAGAAAAAATTAGGGCTCATAGATTCATATTTGAACATAAGGACAAAAAGCAAATTACCAATCATTAAACTGAACTGTAAATTATTTTCACAACCCCAAGAAATAACTCTATTTCCAATAAAGGTTGCTTTTTATACTTTTCAAAGTGAACAATAAAAAGTGGTACTGTAATAAATGTTTTATTTTGAGTGGAATAATTTTCCTCTAGTAAGCAAAGATGGATTGTAGACCAATTTAAACATCTGGTTTTAGTAGACCATTCTACTGTACTCAGAAAATAGGGGTAAAAGTTTAAGGACATCCACCCCTTTAATTAAATTGATGTGGTCTCATACAAACAAGTGCTACTTTGCATATTGGGAGTGCATACAGTGATGCCAGGTTTGGCTACTTTGTGCTAAATTTGGCTCCTTTTTTACTCTTTTGGCAACAAAAAATGTTTCTACTTTTTCAAAATCTTCAAAAGAAAAAATCACATATTTCTTTTAGCCTTATTTTGTTTAACAACTCTGATATACTGTACTGCTCCACACTTATATCCAAATACCATCTCCTACTCATTTTGTTTGATTTGAAAATCATTTAGATCATTTATTAAACTTTATTTAGTAAACATATAAATAACACCTTATCTTTGCCGAGAAATATATTTATTTCAAAAAACAAGCATTTTCAGTCTGATTTACAGGTCATCATCAGGTTGAGAACGAAATTGGAATTAAAACATTCCATTAATAGAATACAAAATTCAAATTAAAAACCAAATAAGCAATGGAATAACATAAAAAATAAATAAAATTTAAAAATTAAATAACCAACGGACTAACAAAAAATAAAAATAAAAAATATGTACATAGAAGTATTAAGAAATACAATTACTAACACCTCTAATAAAATTACTGTTTTAACTGGTTAGAGTTTTTAGTAAATTTTTTAACCATAAACTTCCGTGCAGAGGGAAGACTTTCAGCATCCCTCGCATTCAAACAGTCTTCTTTTAGTTTACTCCTATAAATCTGAATCTTTTCAGCAGTCAGTGCCAAAGATGGGGAAGATAAAAGTTTGATGGTGGCTGCCTCGTTCCATTTGACTACAGAGCCTTGTGTTTGTGCCATTTGGGACAAAATTGTTGCATTAGACTCCTTTCTGATATTATAACTATGTTCCTTGAGTCTAAGTCCCAAACTCCTGGTGGTTACTCCAATATAATCTTTTTTAGTATCCAATTGCATATTCTCATAAGGAATTCTATAAACTCCTGCTTTCTCCTCTGACTTTATACTATATTTATCATTTCTGAGGATTTTGTATAAATTTGGGGCCCTCTGTATAAGCATTCTCAAACATTTTCTTTCATAATGCTATTCATACTTTCATTATAGGTAAATTTCATGACTGCAGTGGGAACACTTTTAAATGATCTTTTTTTGGTGTTTGTCTCATGCTTCTTAACCATTCCTAGAATTGTGCTTTTTTGGTAATCCATGGTCTGGGCTACGTTCATTATTCTATCTATTTCTTTAATCCTGTCTTGGATTCTGTCACAATACAAAAATGCCCTTTTTATTAAAGCTCAGAAAGCTGCAATTTTATATTTATACAGATCCTTGGATTGGAAGGGAATATACAATGGGCTGTGGGATGGTTTAATAAAAACGCTAGTGGATAAATGGCCTTTTCTGAACTTGATACTGATGTCTAGAAAATGCACATCTAAGGAACTCTTCTGTTCTAATCTTAAACTAAGGCCATCATTATTATCATTGATCTTAACCATAAAATCCTTAATCCTGTTATTTTTCCATATTATAAGTAGGTCATCAACATATCTGCTAAAATAAATGACATCCTCCTTGAAATTGTGACAAATTCTTCTTTCTAGCCTCCTAACTACCAATTCACACAGGATCCCTGAGAGCGGGCTTCCCATAGGGACCCCTCTTCTCTGCCTGTAAATCTGTCCATTAAAAGTGAAACAAGATTCATGGCATACCAATCTAGCCAGTTCCTCTACTTTGTTGGTGTAACTAAGCAACTCTGAGCTCTTGCTGTATAAGAAATTCAAAAGTGCCTCCACACATGATTCTATCTTTACTGAAGGATAAATGTTTTCATAGTCGAAAACAGTTGCAACTTCATCTTCCATTAACAAAATATTTTGTAGATCTTTGACAACATTCATAGGATCACGTGCAACTAGAGTATCCGTGTCCAGCTGCGAGGATAAATATTCATGTAACTTCTTTTCTAATATAAATGTGAGTCTCCTGCATTTCTCTACAACTTGTCTTATTTCTTTACCGGCTTTGTGTACCTTAGCAAAAGCAAACAATCTAGGTGTTCCAGGTCTAGGTTTCCTGCATTTTTTGAGAAAAGGCAAAACTGTGGAAAGTTTAATTAATTAATTAAAGAACCTCTAGTTTCCTAACTCTTCTATCCAAACTTCCAATTATCTTGCTTTTGACATTTTCACATTCTGTCTTTTCGATGTAATCCAGTAGTACTTTGTTGTAAGTAAGCCTTTTCATGATAACCAATTGCTTACTTTTGTCAGCCCTAGTCAACACCAAATCATTGTGCTTTAACCAATCCTTAGTGAGTTGGATGTCACTGCTTCTAATACCTCCCATTTGGTTTCTCTTCCTGTTGTTAATGACTGCTTTCTATGTGAAGAACTGTAAGGTCTCGTTTTATGCAGTGGATACGTTCTACAGAAAAGTGCATATAAAAAATTCGCATAAAAAAAGGCTTTACTTGCCTTGAAAAAGTAGGGATACGTTCCGTAATTTTGTAAAATCGCATAAAACCAAAACAATGAGTTAAAATTAACTTAAAACCGCATAAAATTACAGTTTATACCTTTTAATGCGAAACTCAGAATGATGTAATAGTGACTTGTCGATGGTAAGTATCATGTACAAGGGGAATCCCCGAATTGCAAAAGCTCAGTCTAAAAACAAATCACTGACATCTGGATGTGAAGAGTTAATTAAAACCCCTTTAGTTCCTCGCTTGAGTTAACTCTGGCAGGTTACATAGTGTTAAATAAAACACGGTCCTTAAGGCTTTTTGAAATTTTTTTTTTTTTGAATTTTTGGAATGTTTTTTAAGTCTCCAAATTTTAAAAAAATATTTAAAAATATACGGCCAGCTAGTGTTCACCCTACTTTAAACCCTTGTCCTCTCGCGACGTCTATGAGAATGCCCTGGGAAATCCAACTCCAGCTGTGTTCAAGGTCATCCAGATGTGTAAACAATGACTCATCGGTGTTAAATTTCACAGAAGGGCGAGACAAAGGAAGTTAAACTTTGAAGCTTTTTCTTCAAAATTAACACATTTGTTTCGTTTTTTTCAGTTTTAAGTATTTTTTATGTTTAATTACATTTATATCAAAAATTGCTAGGAACTAAAGTGATTAAGGTAGATCTAGCTGTCCTTTACATCCATAAACGTTATATGTCAGTGGAACAAATGGAGTGAGCTTTGAGCGTTCCACGATTTTTGGAGACTGTCTATACGCGGGCTTCCTAAACAAGCCTATACGTATGTTTGCCCAAGAAATTTTTGGATGAAATACAAACCGCACAACTTCAAAATCGCATAAAAATAATCCGCATAAAAAGAGACCTTACAGTACTTCTTTTCTAAAGCATCTAGCCCAACAATGCCCCTTTCAATTTCCTGTATGGAGGTTTCCCA